CTCTCCGACAACCCCCCAAAAAAAAGTAGGATTGGATAGAAACTAGTATTAAAAAAAAAGCTAAATTGCCACTCCTCTTTTTGTCTGAACTCCAACCTGCTGGCTTCCTTACTATTCCTTGAACACCTCAGAAAAGAATGAGGCTGATTTGTTGAGGCTTTGCCTTTGTTTTCACTACCTGGAATCTTCTTTCCCATCTGTGTGGCTGGCTTCCTCATCCTCCTTTACTAAGTTACCACCTTACAAAGGCATACACTGACCCCAAAGTTACTATTACTGTCTACCTCCTACAGCTTCCAGGACTCACTACTCCCCCTTCCCATGCTTGCTCTTTTTATATTATTTTTTTTCCTGTAGCACTTTTTAACTTTCCAGCATAAGTGATCATTTGCTTCTGTTTATTGCCTATTTTCTTCCACTAGAAGATGTAAACTCCACAGTGGCAGAATTCTTTGTCTGGTTTATTTACCTAACTCAAAAGCTTAGAATATCCTCTGTAACATAATAAATGTTCAATAAATAAACTGTCAAACAAATGACTGTATAATTCTCGACTTCCTCAACCTGAAATTTAGAAAATGTTCGCCAAGATTTAACCTACATGCTGCCCTTTATCACAGTCAGGATCTGTCTCTAAATAATTGATCTGTAGGAGAATACTCTTCTTTGTGCAAAGGCTTCAAAAGCAACAGCAGGGCTAATCTTGGCATATAAGTCCCAGAAAAATTCAAGATTATCCTGGGAGAAATATAGATTAGATAAGAATTTAAAATTTAGTAAAAAATAAATAAATAAATAAAGAGAGATTGTATTTCTAAGCAACAGAACTCACATGCAACAACAAATATGTCCAGATGGTCAGGAGGTAAGTTAGTACCAGAGAATAATATCACTTGAGTGAAGAACCAGCTCCTTAGAAACCAACCAAAATAAGGGTGGTCAGTCTATTATTATTTCTACCAAATGTATTTTTTCCAATAACTATTACAATTTATGGCTCATTCATGTAGGATTCCTCTGAAAAGACAACATGTTAGGATTTGTATTTTAGCATCCCAATAGGCTTCTTCCAGGAATGGGATAGTAACACTGAGGCATATTCCAGTAAGTCTATGAAATAACAAAAGTAAAACAATCACCATCTGTCCATATCTTATTTCATTAGGGCTGCTCTAACAAAAAGACCAATAAACCAGATAGCTTGTAAACAAAAGAAATTTCTTTCTCATGTAAGTCCAAGGTCAAGGTGATGGTAGATTATTATCTAATGAGGTCCTCTTTCCTGATTGGTGGATGGCATCTTCTCGCTATGTCTTCACATGGTGAAAGGGACATGGCATTTCCCTAAGACCTCAATCTATCTATCAATCTATATATCTATCTATCTATCTATCTATCTATCTATCTATTATTTATTTATTGAGAGGTTTTTGCTATAGGGAGCGTGTGCTCGCCGAAAGAGAGACAGAAAGCAAGAAATCACCCCCCCACCCCCAGGGGGATGGCCACACTGTAATCCCGTCTCTTCAATTCTCTTTTCAGGATCTTGGGCACACACACACGTGCCTGGCGTGAGTTTAAGCCACCAGGTCCGAGACTCGAATTGTGATCAACTACATGGGAGTCCAGCGACATAGCCATTACACCAACTGCTGGTCCCCTGAGATCTCTTTTATAACACCATTAGTCCTATTCTTGAGTGTTCTGGCCCAAAAATCCTACCTCCTAATTCCATCCTCTTGAGAGTTAGGATTTTAACATACGAATTTTGGTAGTACACAGTCAGACCATCACACCACCTTAACGTTTACCCTGTGACTAATGAAGCCTTCTGTAGCCAACAGGCTCTCAGTCTGAGAGCCTTACAAGGCCCACTTCTGACATTAGCCTGCTTCCTCTACAAAGGTGCCACACTCTGGCCGAAAATAAAACCTATGCTGTCAGAATATGCAGCCACTAGAAGTCAGAAAAATGGTCCAGTTAGACCTGTGCTGCTGCCCCAAAGATCCACCTAAAGTATACATTTAAGTAGAGCCATTATTTGCTTGAAATCATGTGGTGATTTCTCCAATCGCTTCAAATTCCATGGCTTAGAATTTAGCAAACGCTATTGAGCAAACACCCTTTATGCTCTGGCTTTTCTCCTGGCATTTATCACATTTCTCCACACTCAGTGGTCTCCTGTGTCTCTCCTGCTATAGGATGGCCCCCTAAAGGATGGGAATTACACCTGATTCAATTGAGTATCTACAGTAGTAGGTGGTAGATTTCTCAGTAAACATTGGTTCGGTAGATGAATGGATGGATGGAAATGTGTGATTACTAAACCCTAACTGGGCTGTGTTTTTTCTTTCCTCAAGGACTTTGGCCTTATGTTCCTGCACCACATTGTGGCTGTTGTCTTGCTCTCCTTTTCATATGTCAACAATATGATCCGAGTGGGGACTCTGATCCTTTGTGTTTATGATTCAGCTGATGCTCTGATGGAGGTAAAAGTTTTCTTTCATCTTTAAAAATTAAAACAACAACAACAACAACAACAAACAGAATTCAGGAAGCTTCCAGAATCATCAGTTCTTCTATATTATGCTAGATGGTACTTGGATGATAGTAAATGAATGACTACTTTGAAACTATAGAGTCTGTCTTTGTAGGTTCAACTGGCAAAATGAGACTTTAAATTAGCATATAAACTTTTATAGCCAAAAAGTTGGTGATGTTAGAATTCTTTACTAATAAAAAGATGATAAAAAGATGCTATTCTATACTTAGTAAAGATTTTGCAGTGGGTAAATTATTATTTAAATAGGTTTTCTTTCTTTTTAAGTTTCACAGTGATTTATCTAGAAATTGTATATTTAATTTTATTCTATTCCATTTTTAATGGTATATATATATATAATGAGATATATATATCTCAGTGAAATTAAGTAGAAGTCATAGTTTTTATTATCAATATACATATTGTCCTAGAATTTTTACGATGAAAAAAGTATATGAATTGCAAATTATTTATACAAACTATGTTTTCTATGCATACAGGTATGGAATGTGGAAATATTAACTTTCTAAACCATTATCATTTAGAATTCTTGGGGTAGCAAAATAAATGAATAAATAAAAATGCTCTAGCATATTTCAAAGGGTAAAATCCCAAGGAAAATGTTGATATGGTATTTATTCTTTCTATATAGCTCCTGTGAAGAGTCACATTCAATAATGTTATATAAATAAATAAAAATCTTTTACTTTTTTACTATGAAACTTATATAACTAGTCAAAATTAAGTTAGAGCATATAAATTCCATGCAGAAATGGATCTTAGAATCTATTTTTTTTTCCAGAGGTTTTCGCTATAGAGCGCGTGCGTTTGCCCAACAGACAGAGACAGAGAGACAGAAAGCGAGAAATCACCCCCCCAGGGGGGATGGCCACGCCGCAATCCCTTCTCCTCCATTCTCCTCTTGGGATCTTGGGCACGCACGCACACACACCTGGCGTGAGTTTTAAGTCGCCAGGTCCAGGACGCGAACCACGGTCGACTACATGGGAGTCCAGCGACATAGCCATTACACTAACTGCTGGTCCCTTAGAATCTATTTTTGAATTCTTATGGCCCACAGTTTTTTCATCTTCAAAACATTTAGTATTACCATGTACTTTAGAATCCAAGTGTCCTTAAATAATGACCTGTTATTGCAATGTAAGCAACAATTCTATGCCGTAAAGTTAAATCTGCTTTAAAGGCAATCAGTTAAGATTTGAAATACATATAGCATTTTATTGAAAAAAAAAACTCCAGTCGATTCAATATTACTGAAACAGAAAAATAATTCTGATGAGCTAGGTAATTCAGATGATGGTTTGTTTTTACTATTTTAAATGATTCAAGCTAAACTCTATTCAACATGTTTTTAAAGGAGATACATAATTAGTATAAAGGCAGTCCCTTGAAAATCAGTTTCCATTTGGCTAAATCCTAAGTATGCTTGTAAGTGGAAATTTATACTGCAACCTACAGTTTTGAAGTCGATCATGTACCATAAGCCAACTTGAGTGCCTGTGGAAATCACTGTCCTGATGTTTGGTAGAGTGGTGATCCAGAAAAATATTAGTTGAATTGTCATCTACAACTTGTACCCACAAAAGAAAAAAATATCCATTATTCTCAGTCTCATGCTTATAAGCAAATGTTCTTCTTCACTTAGATGGGCTTTGACATCGTAAAATAATACTTCAGAAGATCCAATTAATGAAAATCTTCCAAATGAATCTATGGCATAGACATTTCTGAAAAGTTATGTTTCATATTTGTGTATTAAATACTGGTGAATGAATATAAAAAGAAAATTACATGGTTTACCTAGATCAGAAGAAGACAGAAGGTTCTTAACATAATTGGTGGTGCTATGCTCAAAGTGTTCATGAAATTAAAAGCTCATAATCCTGCTTTTACTCGACTAATAGATACTTCCCCTTAAAAATACATTTCTGTCTTAGCTTTGTGCTTTACCTAAAGCTATTAAATTATAGCTTCTGTGGATACTGTCAACAATCCTCTCAGTTTGACTCAGCTAATTTAACTTTCCAAGAGGTAGAAAATGTTATGAATTCAGAAGACATCTTCAATTTATAACTCTGGTGTAGGTGCTGTGAATTGTATCTAAAAATGTAAAAAGAGGAGATCAAGTAAAATTATGTTTTCATTCTTACCTGTGCTTACTTAGAATCATCTGTAAAAAATGGCTGGTAGAGAAAGGGGTCTGATATTGTCCATAGACTAATACATAATACAAACAGTGGTCACTGAAATCACCATCATAAATTATTAGAGCTCTTCTTACAGGTAATTTGAACATTAGTGACTTTCATCTAGAAAATGACCCATTACTGTAACTTTAAAAATTCTACCTAAATGAATTAGTTGAAATAACATGGCCTTGGGGCCAGCAGATGGCATAATGGTTATGTCGCTGGACTCCCACGTAGCTGACTGTGGTTTGAGTCCTGGACTTGGAGGTTTAAACTCACGCCAAGCACGTGTGCATGCGTGCCCTAGCCCCCAAGAAAAGAATAGACGAGAAGGGTTTGTGCCTTGGCAACTTCCCTGGAGGGTGATCTCTTACTTTCTGTCTCTCTGCCTCTCTCTGTCTCTCTGGAGAGTGCATGCACCCTATAGCAAAAAGTCTCTCTCTAAAAAAAAAAAAAAAGAGTACCCGTTGGTGGCGTGAAAGTTTAAGACATCTGGATCCCACATGGCCAACTGTGGTTCAAGTCCTGGAAAATGGTTAGAAAAAAGAAGAAGAAGAAATAACATGGTCTTGACAGCTTCTTCATTTCTAAGTTTAAAAGAATAAGCCTGGAAGCTTTCTTCCTACCATACTCGGAGCCTATTAAAGAAAAATATTAAAAAAAAAAGTCTATATATTCCATATAAAGTTTATGACCTGAGTATTTGGGCCTCATTAAAAATTTAAAGATTATCCAGCACTATTGACCTGTTATGCCAAAATTCTAGTTTGGTGTCTTTGACTTGCAAGTATCATTTGTAATGTAAGAGTGTCTTTTTTTTTTTCCTGTTTTCTTGAAATCAACCATATAATTGAATTTTTCAGATTGCTGAATGTTTTATGAAATCTGTGACAGTCAGTAATTCTTAAAGCTAATGCTGCATTTCATTCAACTTATGGGTTATTTATAAATGCTGATGCATGATGCATGACATTTTAAAGTAGCAGGCAATTTTATGCATCTAGTAAGTTATATCTAATAGGGAACTCATGCATATTTGAAAGAAACTTCATTTATCAGTTTAACTAAGTTAATATGTCATATTTCTTCTTTTCATAGACTGCCAAAATGGCAAATTATGCCAAGTTTCAGAAGGCTTGTGACTTCCTGTTCGTTATATTTGCTGTGGTTTTTATCACCACACGACTGGCTATTTTTCCTTTCTGGTGAGTATGCCAACATTCTTTCTAATAGAGTCACCTTTTCCTAATAAGCTTTTTGAACCACTGTGCTTTTGCATTTCACTACAAATACTTGATAAGAGGTTTAAATGTAGTAGGGAATGGACTCAAGAATTGATTTCTTCTTTCTAAAGTGGGTTGCGCTCTTTGCTAATATCCCCCACAGGATAGTTAGAGAAGGATTTGGCTTACGTAGGTTCTGAAGTCACATTAGCTGTCTGCCATTTTAGGCATTGTCTAGACTATGATTCAAGAACCTCTGCCCTGAAGGTATGAATTAAGAAAAGAATTATGCTGTGGCAACCAGATACCAGAGGTTCACAAAAAAGTTGTCACTGGACCAACAACTTTATGTGGGACTGTGTTAGAAATGCAAATTATCGGGGGGCCAGCAGTTAGCGTAATGGCTATGTCACTGGATTCCCATGTGGCTAACCGTGGTTCGTGTCCCGGACCCAGTGGCTTAAACTCATGCTGGATGAGTGTGCGTGCGTGCCCAAGATCCCAAGAAGAGAATGGAGGAGAAGGGATTGCGGTGTGGCCATCCCCCCTGGGGGGGTGGTTTTTTGCTTTCTATCTCTTTGTCTCTCTCTGTCCTTCTGGAGTGCACACACCCTCTAGCAATTATCTCTCCAAAAAAAGAAAAAAAAAAAAGAAATGCAAATTATCGGGCCTCACTCCCGACCCATGGTGTAGTCAGGAACTGTGGAGATGAGACCTGCAAATCTGTGTTTTGTGTCATCTTCCTGATGATTCTGTCCCATGTTAAAGTTTGAAATTCATTGTCCCAAATAGTTCTCAACAACTGCAGTTACAACTGATAAAACTGAAAAACAACCTCTGAAGTTCTGTATATCTTCGTAACCTGGATGTCTTTTATTTTGTTGAGAGCTAAGACAAAGATATGGCAAGAACCAGCCAGGTGACTTTGTGGAATAGGTCCCACCTAGGGACTGGATCCCACATGGGCGAATGTACAGTTCAAGTCCCAGACCTGGCTTGAAAAACACACCAGTTTCATGTGCATACATGCCCAAACTCCTGAGAGAAGAATGGAGGAGAAGGGATTATGGCATGGCAATCGCTCTGGAGGGTGATTTCTCACTTTCTCTCCCTCCTTCTCTCTGTCTTTCTCCAGCAAGTGCACACACCCTATAGCAAAACTAAAAATAAAAAAAATAAAAACAGAGAGAAAGTTATGACAGATTTGGATGGAATTTGATCATCTCTTCTACAGAAAATTGGTCCACTGTTACTAATATTTTTTTCTGGAAGGCTACTACTTGAACTAGGAAAAGAAAGAGGGAGAAAAATGAACCCTCCATAGCACTGGAAGTCTACCATTGATGGTAGAATTTTTTTTCCACTTTGGAAGATTGATTTGAATGTGAATTAGAATAGAAATCAGAGAAAATAGAGGAATGAAGGGATAGAATAATACCTTGACTTTAGCCTTCTTTTGAAAAATAATGGTAACAAGGCTGGGGTTTTTAAGTGAATAGTGTCTATCCCTGTAGATGCCAGAGACCGTAAGTGAGGGGAGTAGGTGGTAGAGAGCAGATGGGGGGAGGGGCAAAGGGAAGAAATATTTATCAAACAAAGGAATGTAAAATCTCTGTGAAAAAATCCATAATTTTTGTTTTATAAAAATTAAAATTAAAAAAATTGCAAACACGTATGCATGCACAACCCTCCCACACACACACATGCACAGGCCTTCCCCTCGATGCTCACAGCTCTCTGTACACTTACTTATTATGAAAACCACTTCTAAGTGGTAGCACTGTGGGTTGGCAACAGACATTTATAAAACTTCATTACAATCTAATATGATTGTAGGTAGGAAACTTTACTGAAGTAATTTTGAATATAATGTGTCTAATTATTTCAGGGTTAAAGCTCTTTCAAAATTATTAGTGGAACTAGTGGTAAGAATTAAAATAGAAAAAAATCAAGCAAAATCCAGGAAACATTTCTCAGAAGAATAATAGAAAGTTTTTCCTACATAGAATTTCTGACAACTTGAGTTTTAAAGAAATAAGTATCATCACAACGTACTTTAATTTGCTTATATCCTTTAAAGGTAGAATTAAAATTAAGATTCAGCTCTTCTCTTGCCTCGTTAATGTGTGAACACTTGAATTTAGATAACAGTGAGTTACCTAGAACATAGACCTCAAGATATGCTACCAACATCATAACTCATAGTTAGGGCCTATGATGATGACCTGTGCTTGCTGCTTAGAAAGATCCTTGTACCCAAATATAAAACAAGAGCCTGGCTTGCAAGTTCTATAAGGTTCCTGCTACTATGCCTCTCAGGGAGCCAACTTTTTCAACAAGTCACTTGTGGAGAGAATCTTCTATTGCTTATAAAACAGAAATAATTTATATGCCTGCTATTATTGTAGTTGCACATCTACTGAATAAAATCCTTTTCAGGTCTGCCAGTAAGTTACATTGGTACCTGGATGATCTTTATTTTGACCCTGCTTCAAGTACGAGAATGGAAGGGGCATTGTTAGTATTTAAAATGTTAACATGGGGCCAACAGGTGGAGTGGTTGCTAAGACACCGGATTCCCACATGGGTGACTACAGTTCAAGTCCCACACCTGGTGACTTGAAAATCATGCTAGGCATGTGTGCATACTGCCCCAAATCTCCAGAGAATGGAGGAGAAAGGAGTGCAGTGTGGCCATCCCCCCAGGGGGTGATTCCCACTTTTCCTTTATCTGTCTCTGGCAAGTGCACATGCTACATGGCAAAAACCTAAAAAAACAAAGTGTTCACATGAGTGACAATCACGAATAGTGTTTTAAATATTTACCTTAATATTGTGAATCACTTAAAAATTCCTTTTGTACTAGAGATTTCAAGTCTTGGGCAGCACTTCTCCCCTACTCTCTCTGCCCATGATAGGAAATCTTTGATCAGTTTCCCTCATCAGGAATAAGACTTCAGAGGGCATGAAAGAAATGGTTTCTTACATGAAACTATCTCATGTCCTTTGAAACCCTAATAACTTCAATGCTAAGGATTCTTAATCTGAGTTAAAGCTCCCCTGCTCCCAAAGTATCTGTAAAGTGTGTGTTGCATGTGTGTGTATTTCTTAAAGGAAAGGCTAAATGGCTCATGGCTTTATAAGATTCTTAGAGAGATCTGTGACTCCCTCCTTTCCTCAAAAGTGCCTTCTAGAAAACAGACCAAGTGTACCCTACCACTTCTAATGGAAAACTCTTGACATTGTGATTTCTAGTATGTCTTTAGGCTTTCTCTTCTACAGAAAGCTTATTCAGTCCCATCAACTGCTCCAACTTGTCTTCCTTTGTTCCCCAGAATTTTTGGCATACTGTTTCAAATTTGGACTGGCTTGTGCAGAATATAAGGGAACTAACAACAAGCTTTAGGTAGCTCTGTACTTCTTCTAACACTGTTTTGTTACATGAGCTTTGTAAGCACCTCACACACATACTGATGGTGATCTGACACACGTATGAGCTGCTGCCAGACTACACTGTCCTCATACTAAACGTTTTTCATTTGTATAAATGTTTTCATTATGATTTATTTTAATTGTAATTGTATAAACTGTATTAATCTCTGTTAGATTTCTTCCTGCTGTTTTCAGATATCATTTTAACCCAATAGGGTCTTCTGAACTACATTCAACATGATACTTCTTTATTTGGACTTTATGTTTCTTGCAAATATGCCTTTTCTGCTTCTTCTAACTCACTGAAGAAAGAGATTGGCCAAAAGAATGCCTGCTACACTACTGAAGAATTTCTTTACATTGACCTCTACCCTTCAACAAGCAAAAAAATTCTGTGTATTTTTCCTACTCATTACTAAGCTTTCTAACTGCTCTGTCATCATGCCTAATATTTCCTCAGAGTTTTGAAAAGTATATTAAAGGCCTTTGTCAAAGGTTTTGTGAGAATCAGGATTTACTCTGTTAAGGCATTCTCTGCACACAGGGAGGCTGGATTGAAAAAGATCTGAAGCCAGATTTTAGGAGAACTTTGCTGACTCCTGGGTCTCCATTTCTGAGTATAGTAATTATTTGATTATCCATCTGCAATAGTGAGCTAGCAGGTCCAAAAGGTCCAGTCTTTGCCTTTTCCATAGTGTTTAGGTGTGGACTTCTAACTTCAAATGCACTACCATTTTTTATGTAGTGAAGAATGGACATTTACTGTACGACCAGTATTGGGTTGGTTGCTTAGAGTTTAGTTATTTTAGCCAAGTCACTATTTATTATATGCTGTAAAAGATTTGGGGATGTAATCAGTACTCAAAAGCTCCAGTTATACCTATTGGGTAGATATTAAGCTATGCAAAACAGGTGATTAGTGACGTTCCTCTCTCCCCAATACATGTATCCTCTTAATCTGGTATCGTTCAGGGGAAAAGAGTGTTAAAAGCTTAAATATCTTTTCCTTGCATTTAAATTCTTAGCAAATTACATCTTGTTAGTTCCTGTCAACTAAATAATCTGTGTATTCTAGTCTCTACTGTAGAGTCAGGCAGTCAGTGGTTTGATTCTTTTTAATAATAAGCCTGTCCATCATTGTAGGCATTACCATTATCATGGATCTACATCTCTTTTTTCTATACCCTGTAGGTATGTAGTCCCTAAAGTTCCAAACGATCTCTCATATTTCATGACATTGTGATTTCAGTACATCATAGACTAGATTGTGCTCAGTCTGTAGTATCCATCACAATGCCTTGCTCATAGTAACTACCCAGTATTCATTGAGTAAATTGGATACTCTTTAATTTCAAACAACAAATTGTCTCACACCTTCTTTCTTTCTTTATAGCTTTTAGTTTTTGCTATAGGGCATGTGTGCTTTCCAGAGAGAGATAGAGAGAGACAGGGAAGTGAGAAATCCCCTCACCCCCTGGGGATGGTCTTGCCACAATTCCTTGTCCTCCATTCTCCTCTCTGGATTAGGTCATGCACATGCACACACCCAG